TCCGGTTTCGTAGTGTCGTAGCCGCAGGCAAGACGAGCCTCGCGTGCTTTCGCCCGAGCATCTTCGGAAGCGGCTTCAGGAACATTCCCCGCCTCCCAAAAACCCTTGTATATATCTCGTTGGGCCTCAACATGGACCCAAAGCTCATACAAACGGCGGGGGACGATAGCAGAGCCAGATTCTTGGGGGATAGCCGGGGCCAACAGTTGTGCCTCTCGGCCTCAAGGGCCACGATCCGGTCTCCCAGGATCGAAGCTTCCCGATCAATTTCACCAATACGCTCCTCGAGCCGCGCCTCCCTTAGTGTGGTCGTTACCCTCTCAGATTCCTGCTCAGACCTGAGGACGCGGATAGTGTCTTCCAGCGTCGTCTCCCTCGTTATAGCCGACACCCGAGCCTCCTCATCTTTCTCCAACTCGGTCACCTTCTTTTCTAGCTCGGCCACCTTCTTCGCCCATTCTGCACTCAGGTCGGCAACCCTGGTGGCGTTTTTTTCAAGCTCGGCTTGCAAAGACAGCACCTTCACCTGAAGGTCTTCACGCCGCAACCCCGTTGCCCACTTCGAGCTCCTCATCTTTGGCATGGAGTAACTCCTCGAGCTCGCTGCATCTGCGGATAGACCGCATCAGTTCCTCGTCCCTTTTCTCCAACTCTTCCCTAAGGACTGAGTATTACCGCCCGCCCTAAGCTGTGCATGCATCTCACGGCACTTGTCGTGGTATCGACGATACTTCGTGGCCATTTTCAAAAAGACTTCGGCCCTAGTCTCAGCCCTACGAGCACTTTCAATCTCCAGCATGTAAGTCTGCAAATAGGGAGCAGGAAGAAAAGGAGGGGAGGCATCAGCGAAGGCAAAATAGCACAAAATAAAGAAAATGAAAAAAAGACTCACCCTCAAGGCCATCCCGGCCACACCTTGTGACAAAGAAGAATCATTGATCTCCCGAAGAGACTCACTTTCGGCGGCAGAACATAGAAGGTCGAATTGAGGCACCAACTCCAACGTGTCCTCCAAAAGGCTAAAATCTGACGGAATCTCGAGCACACGAGAAGGATCTTTTGCCCTTACATTGACCCTGGTAAAGCCTTCCTCAAATATCCTCATATCCTCAGGGTCGATGTTGGAATCCGATTCATAATCATCCACCACCACGCTCTTCCCCCTCTCATTAGCCGAAGAGGGGGCACAGTTCTGACGAGATGACGATGGGCCGCTCGGAAGATAGCGGCAGCCCCGGAATTCTGTCCCCCCACCACGGTGGTCTCCTCCGCAATCGAAATAGGCATCGCCTCCGCACCCCGGCCGTTGTCACCATCGGCTCCAAATATCACCGAAGTAGGGTCACCCTTCGAGGACGTATCAGCCAAAGACGTCCCCTCTGACAACCCCCGCCTCTTTGGCGGTGCCTCTTCGCTACTGTTGCGAGAAGGCTCGCCCGTTGAACGAACGGCGAGAACCGAAGTATCTGACCAGGGAGCAACCTCCAAACGAACGGGCTCGATCGCCAACATGGTCTGCCACACAACCACACGTTGGGTGCTCTCATCCGCATATGCCCTTTGAACGGGTCAGGCAGATGAAGCCGACAGGCGAAAAGCGAGCGGAGGAGCCCTTGTCCTTCTCACTCCCTTCCGACTTACCAATGAGAAGAGATTTAATCAAGCAAGGATAAGGTGAAAGAAAGTATGGAGCAAAGAACAAAGTGACGGGCCACAACGAGCCGACTCACCAACAAGACGCTTGTGCCCGAACTTCTCATGGAAAGGCGCCCATTCACGAATCCCCACCGTATGGGGAAGGATCGCGCACCAACTCCAACGTGTCCTCCAAAAGGCTAAAATCCGACGGAATCTCGAGCACACGAGAAGGATCTTTTGCCCTTACATTGACCCTGGTAAAGCCTTCCTCAAACATCCTCATATCCTCAGGGTCGATGTTGGAATCCGATTCATAATCATCCACCACCACGCCCTTCCCCCTCTCATTAGCCGAAGAGGGGGCGCGGTTATGACGAGATGACGATGGGCCGCTCGGAAGATAGCAGCAGCCCCGGAATTCTGTCCCCCACCACGGTGGTCTCCTCCGCAATCGAAATAGGCATCGCTTCCGCACCCCGGCCGGTGTCACCATCGGCTCCAAATATTACCGAAGTAGGGTCACCCTTCGAGGACGTATCAGCCAAAGACGTCCCCTCTGACAACCTCTGCCTCTTTGGCGGTGCCTCTTCGCTACTATTGCGAGAAGGCTTGCCCGTTGAACGGACGACGAGAATCGAAGTATCTGACCAGGGAGCAACCTCCAAACGAACGGGCTCGATCGCCAACATGGTCTGCCGCACAACCACACGTTGGGTGCTCTCATCTGCATATGCCCTTTGAACGGGTCAGGCAGATGAAGCCGACAAGCAAAAAGCGAGCGGAGGAGCCCTTGTCCTTCTCACTCCCTTCCGACCTACCAATGAGAAGAGATTTAATCAAACAGGGATAAGGTAAAAGAAAGTATGGGGCAAAGAACAAAGTGACGGGCCACAACGAGCCGACTCACCAACAGGAGGCTTGCGCCCGAACTTCTCATGGAAAGGCGCCCATTCACGAATCCCCACCGTATGGGGAAGGATCGCGCTCACCCACTCGCGAATATTAGCAACTGACGGAGGAGGTACTCTCTCGGCTACAAGAACATAAACAAACCCCCAACGAGGTCATTAAAGGGACACGACCGATGACCATCTTAAGATAAATGCATAAAGTAAAAAAGAAAACCTACGGGCGAAATTCCACGTCTCAGGAAATCCCGCCGGGTTCAACACGACGTGCTATGTTTGAATGTAGAAGAAGCTCTCCTTAAAGCGGCGATTTTCCTTATTGTCCATTTTTACCACCAAACTCTTGGTTCCTCAGTGACGCATGTGAATCATTGTACCCCGAAGAAAATGGGGGCGAAGAGGTGAAGCATGTGTCCTAGAGAGATTCCTCGGCCGGCCAGCTCCGCATACTTGATGAGCATAAGGAAAAGCTAGTACGCGTACGGAGAGAGTTGAGCCAGGCACACCTCATAGAAGCGGTAGAATCCACCACCAAGGAAGGAAGGGAAAGCGTGTACCCGATGATAAAGGGATACGTATAAAACGCGTAGTAGCCTGGGCGGTGTAAATGCATTATGTCTCGATCTGCCGGCACCATTTCAATATGATCGGGGATCCCCTATTTGGCTTTGAACGCCGTGAGCACCGCAACATCCATCGTGGAAGGAACGGGCTCCAGCTCGTCTCCAGCAGGGCTATTAAAGTCAGTCCTCGCCTTACCCGGGCGGGGGACCACCTCATCCACCGTCGGAAAGCCTACATCCTCCACCATCTCAACCCCCTCTTCGATTAGGGGCGCATCATCTTCTGGCACCGGAGCACCAGCAGCTCTATCGGAGTTAGAAGAAGCACTAGCCATTTTCTCTTTGACCGAAAGAAATGAGAATGATAAGGGAAAAGGGTGGTGGTCACAGCAAATCCTAACGGAAACGGAAATTTAATAAACTAGAGAAGCAGAGTTGCAAAGTTCTCTCTCAAACGGTTAAGAAGCGTAACATTCAAATGAGGGATTCTCCCCTATTTATAGGGATATAAATTGAGCGGGGAAACCAAGCGTCGCCAGTTAGAAAACTAAAATGGCACGGAAAACGACACAAACATATGAAACGTGCGCCATAATGACGCATGAGAAACATTAATGATATTATGAACTGACGTAACGGTCTGATGCAGTTCTTGAAACGTCACGTAGCTACCTCGCCAAGAGGTGCTCGTCCCTCGCACAAAGTGTTCAGATCTCTCCTTATCATATCAATAGAGTTCGCCCATTGAGCTCGCCAAGAGGCAACCTCAGGCGGAGGGACTAACTGTATGGGTCGAAATCTGACCACGCGTGGATTAACATTAAAAGGAATGGCGAGGGGTATACTGGGTCATGGTCGTATCCATAAGACGTCATAACAACGGGTATCTCGGCCGCTGCCGGGATCGAACCACCTAAAAGCTTGTACGGCGAGGCATATGTCGTGACATTTAAGGGGAACGACCCAACGCACAATGAAGAGACTAAGGCCCTCTGGCTAAGAACCGTTGGATAAAAGGGAATAATTTCTATATAAATAGGGGAAAGAGAATAGGAAAATGGGGAGTGGTTCCGACACAAAAACGAGAGGTAGAAGAATCGGAGAAAGCAACAGGAGAAAAACAAGAGAAGTAGCAGATCTCGGCGACAAACTTTTGTAATCATCTTTCTTGAGTTAATAAAGATAGATCCAGCAACTATTAATGGCATTTCCTTTTTTCTACCTTTATTCTTGCATTACAGGACAGTGCATCATGAATGTATACATGTCATTTATATTTGCTATCTTTTATAAGTATAAAATATTCGTGTGCTTGACCTTATCTTATTCTCTTGTTTAATGCATTTTCGTCTAAAATTAATTATCCTTGACTAAGATTTATCCTCCTTCTTTCTTATTAATTAGTTTAACAAAGAGCGTAACATTTTTTTATCAAACAAGGTAGTGTTGGTGTGTCTTGTTGTAATCATTCTGATTAATTCCTTTCCTGAACGATAGACATCGCGAAGTATAACAAATCAAAATCCTATTACCAGGCGAGACCAAAATAAGGATTTACTTCACTGGGCTGACCATACAATTCACTAGGGAAAATGACATTGTATAGTCGCTCTCAAAATAATAGTCAACAAAAAATATATTTTTGTATATATATATACATTCTGTATGTTATATAAAAACTATACAAGTTTTTATATTTTTTTGGCTATCTAATATAAATAGTTTCCAGCGCGGGCTAAAAGTAAAAAAAGCCCAATTCACTACGCTCAATCCTAGGCCCACCTTCTCTTAAATTTTGTCAACCCAGTCCAATAAAACAAAATATTCTTTCTGAATAACAAGGCCTGAAAACTGGGCTACAGAAGCCCAAAGTAGCACCACCGTAACTCTAAACCCTAGTAAAACGCCATAGCTTAAAGAACAGAGTCAGGTTCGTAAACAATCCATTCACACAACCAAAACTAAGCCTTGATTGCTGACCGCCGGTAGCCAATCCTCACTCCGCCATCATGGGCCGCATGCACAGTCGCGGGTTCGTCATTCTATTATATTCTTTAAGCTCTTAATAATCATCAATTAATCTCCATTTTTCTTTCTCTGACCATCATTTAATCTATCATTTTTATTGTGGGTTTCAGTAAGGGTATTTCAGCTTCGGCTCTTCCTTACAAAAGAACTCCTCCCAGTTGGCTGAAGATCTCCGCTCCTGATGTAAAAATCATATACCTTTTTGTCACTTATAACTATGTGTTATTTATATGTCTAGAAAATTTATATAGGTGTGCTTGATTTGTATGATTTCAGGTTGAGGATAACATTTGCAAGTTTGCCAAAAAAGGATTGACTCCTTCACAGATTGGTGTGATTCTTCGTGACTCACACGGTATTGCACAAGTCAAGAGTGTCACTGGCAGCAAGATCTTGCGTATTCTCAAAGCTCACGGTATTATTGTTATTATGTGTGTTTTTTTGGCTATGGGAATAATTGCTTAGATGAATCTGGTTTTTGATATATGAGTATTTTGCTGTTGCAAATGGATTTAGGGCTTGCTCCTGAGATACCAGAGGATCTGTACCACCTGATTAAGAAGGCAGTTGCTATTAGGAAGCATTTGGAGAGGAACAGAAAGGATAAGGATTCCAAGTTCCGCTTGATTTTGGTGGAGAGCAGGATCCATCGTCTTGCTCGCTATTACAAGAAAACAAAGAAGCTCCCACCTGTCTGGAAATAGTAAGCTTCATTCCCTCTCTATCTCTTGCTTTACAATGTCTGTGCTATACATATACTACTCTTTATGTTTTGGTTTATTCTTCTGGAAACAAATTCTTTTTGCAGAGAACTATTCTGAAACTTAGGTTCCTTCCTAATGATTTTCTTACTAGAGTTAGAGGCCTCTAGTCTAGTTACTTTTATTCATCTGGAGCTATAATTTTCTGTAGGCTTTGGCTAGAATTACACAGTTGGGTAAAAAACTGTAATGTACTTGCTCTTTCCTTGGCTTCAACTTGTTGTGTGAAGGTGGTTCATATGCAGCTTATTCTTACTTGACCTAAGTGAATTTGATGGCCCCAAAAGAGGGGCAGTAGTAACTACTAGTTGTTAATGTTAGAGTTTGTCACATCGGTTGAGGGAATGATCTGTTATCTCCTCATATGGTCTTAGGCAGTCATCATCTTTGGATGAGTCAGACTCAAGCTCCATTTTCTTTACATTATATCAAAGTCAGGCTCATTCCTATTCTTCGTTTACCCAATGACTAGCTTCCATGTTGTACTGGCCACGTTCCAAATGTGAGCATGCGCAGGGGCAGGGGGTGCTAGAGTGCCCTACATTGGTTGAGGGAATGAGTGGTTGAGTAGTGCCTTGTTACATGATCTTGGACAACCCTCACCCCACGAACTTGCTTTTGGAGCTGGGTTAGGCTCAATGTTTGTCCTCTTTACAATTAAAATGTTAACTGAAATCTTTCAAATTGTTACAACTTTTGGCTGCGATAGGTTTTATATCTTTTTGCTTCTGATACCAAGACAAATTGAGCAAAATGGATTGTGAGGAATCGTGTGCTAACCACAACTAAGACATAGTAGTTGTTATTGTTATATTGTTGTTTACTTCTAGATTCTTCTTGGTATATGCTCCATTGGAAATTGAATGTCCTGGTTCTTATACAGCAAGCTTTAAAGTTGTAACAATTCCAAGTGTTATTTGTTTATTACTATCTTCTTTTACTCCTTTCCAGTTTAACTTACATTTTGGTCTATCTAAATTGCGTTGGTGTTCATTATGAAAGTGTACCAAGAAACTACTGTAATGTTTAAGGAAAGTTGTCTTTTTTCAGATTTGGAAATATTTATCTTTAAATACAGCAAGCTTTACTTCTTACCGTAACTGAAAGAGGAATACTTATACTGGGACAGCAGATAATGCTTTGAGATTGGTTCTTCGTTTTTTTTCTTAAATTTTTTTGGTGATTATACGTGGTTCTAAAACCAATGTATGGCGTACTATTCTTTTTTGGCTGTCTTTACTCTTCTTTCTTGGTTTAAGAGCAAGGTTTATGCCATCTTTCTCAAAGGTTGCTGATTGTTTTTATTTCGATTTATGTGCAGCGAATCAACCACTGCCAGCACACTTGTGGCTTAGGGGGTGAGACTTGAGCCGGAGTAGTTTTGGCTGATGGCAATATGTTGTTTTCTCGGGTCATGAATTACTTGTTAAATCCAATTTTGTTTGATTTAGTCATGCTACTCAATGGAAATTAGTTTTCTGGATAGTACTTGATCCAATTTTTACAAAGTATTAATCATAGATGCTTTTATTTTGATATGAATCACTTGTTTCTCAACCTCTTGGGCTAAAAGAATGTTTCAATGTTCAGCTGGTATGGCTGCACCGTAATTTGGCTAGCTGGAAATTATGGTTTTGCCCTTCATTTTTCTCCACTTTGTATGCATGGGAGTGATGTACTGTTTTTAAACATAAAAACCTATGATTATGGAAACATAGATTTGCAGCATATTGATGTAGAAACACTTAAATCTGACATTGCAATTAGGAGCAGCAATCATTCAAGTTGCTGGTTACTCATTGTTATTGAAAATCTTGTGAACTGCAGTCAATTACCAGTACTTTATTTCCCAAAAAAAAAAGAAACTCGTGTTTTAACTTCAATCAACACCTGATTTGAATTTTCCGTTACTCTACGTCGAGCTTTAACATGCATTCACCTGCCGCTAGCATGCAAATTTATCCTGCCTGTCGACACGAAAGCATAAATCCAACCTGCTAGTGCTTGGGATTGAGGTTCGAGCTGGATATCAGCTATAGGGACGTTTACGCCCATCTTTTAGCCGTAGGTTCTTACTACTAAACCTATCGCACTTTTATGAATTCAAAATATGCTATCTGTTAATGTTTAGTAAAATCTCACGTATATACTAATGCTCTTATTTAAATGTCTGGGGTTCAGTTCAACCCATTGAGCTTATGCATCCGCCTTTGCGTGTGTGGTGTTTGGATGCAATCTATTTATTCGGCGAAATTGACAGGTGCGGCTGTTCTTGATGTCTGCAGATTTTTCTTTTAGATGTTTCTTTGACGGAGCTTACACAAATTCCTCGGATGCAATGTCGCACTTTTAGACGATTTACTGGTCCCAAGATGGAAGCCACAAATTATCTTTTCCTTCTAGAGAATTTCTTAATCCGAAACGTAAAGTTGCTTCATTATTTTAGGGGATTTTGGAGATTAATAAATTGATGTTCTAATTGTTTATAGGCAATGAAAATAGTTGACACCATGAGAAAACAAAACTAAAGCTTCTGTTGGTTATGGTGTTTAGGTATCTGTCTGATATAAGTGGCTAATGGGAGGGGTGTCTATCACGTGATGATTTTATTTAATTTAAGGTGGGTGGTCTGTGTATTAACATGAATATTATTTTATCTAGCGCAGAAAACTAAACTTTCCCACATCGTCCTCCGAACCTTGTCTCATGTCATTTTAATATGATTTTCAAGATGGCATGTCAGTTCGACTGCAAGATGACGTGAATGGGCTCCGATTTATTCGATGAGTAGGTGAAGCCCAGGAAAGTCCCCGGGCCGCTTATGCCAGAGATGCATGCTTGGAAACGAGCTAAACTTTCACAGCTTGTGAGTTCCATTCTTATACGTGAGATGGGCTTGAGACGAGGTGGAGCCTATGGACTCTTGCCGGAATGCTCTATTGGCCGATAGTAATACAGTTATTCACGTGGTCCAACTGGACTATAACTGAACGGGGCTTACACTCTTGCAGTCACCTTTTTTCTCTATTTTTGCTTCTCAAATAATCTCTTTCAATTTGTTCCCTTTGTCATTGTATGTAATTTCATCATCTTTTTTCCAACTGATAATTTTATGGATCAATTGGTTTTGTGGCTCTTTATAAATTTATTTTTAATTTTATTTTATAAACTTTTTTTTATTTTAATCTTTTTTACGCATGAGAGATTTATTTATACACGTAAGAGATTTGTCTTTTACACATAAAAAAATTTAAAAAGGTTAGTTTCTTAATTCTAAAGTTGCAAAGTGGCATGATGTACAAATACATTAATAAATTTACTCCTCGACGACAAATAACAGAACCATTTTTGAATAGGATACAACTTAAAACGTTAGTGAGAACAAGTTGTTTTCCTAATAATATTCCTTTTGTGGTTCGAAAAAGTCTTTCCTTTTTGTTTAACCAATTTCTTTTTCAAGTAAACAATATTTTCCTCTTATGAAACTGTTTTTCAGTAAAATAAATATCCAAACATAGTGTAAATTTTCAAATAGTATATTTTTTCAATTTAACTTCAAAACTTACTTTTTTTTTTGCGAAATACATAAATGGCCCCTCCAAGTTGTCCACAACGGTCATTTGAACACCTCAACAGACCTATTTATCAAGTAGACACCTCAAGCTATGTTTTAATGTGTCTCTTAAACCCTTCAAAGTGACATGGCAAAATGTGTGTACTACACTCGCCTTGCAGCAAGTGAAGCCTTTAAAAATTGTGTTTATTTCTGTTCTTTTTTTAATTTAACTGGTGGAGCCCACTTATCCTCCCCTTCTTCTCCAAAATTTTCTTTCACTATCTTCTCCACCATAACGCACTAATCTCAACGCCACACTTTACCATTAAAAGGAAGTCCCAGCATAATTAAAGTTAAAAAATTATCAGAATTCTGTTCGGCAAAATCCTTAGAATAATCATAAGTTTCAACGGGAACTTCATCCAAAAAATCATCCACTGCCGCCGTCGAAGTTGGTCACCTCCATTACCGACCACCATTCACGACAGCTTCATCTACGCTCCTTCAACCAGCAGCCGCTCCTTCAACCAGCAGCCCCTTCAACCACTACCGACAACAATCCCTTCCTTTCAATTGAAACACATAAACAACAACCAATTACCTGAATTGGCAAACAATAATTTTAAGGAAAAAATTACACACAAAAAGAAAACAATAAATTAGAGAAAGAAAAGTGATACAAGTCCAAATTCATAATCAAGAAAATGACAGATAGAGAGAGAGAATTAAAGATTCCAATACAATTGAATCTTTCAAATTTTTCCAGCGATGAGCTTTTCCGGCGAGAGAGGCCACAAAATGAGAATTTTCGGCGAGGTCCGTGGGTGGATGGGTTATTCTCATAGCTTTTCAATGTTTTTTCATATTTGTGTTAGTTTTAAGAAAAGGTTTTGGCTGTCCGCGGGTGTGTCGGAGAAAAAGGTTGGAAGTGGAAGGGGTCTGACCGGAAAAACTTAGGTTTGTTGGAGGGAGGATGGTTTTGGGAAAAGGGAACGGGGATGCAATTGGTCTGTTTGGGCAGAAGTTGGTTTTGGGTTTTTCTTTTGTTTTTTTAGTTTGTTGAATTTCTTTTTAAATTATTGTTTACCATTTTAATTCAGCATTACACGTGTTATTATCTTATTGGTTCATTTACCACGTAACCAGCGATTGCATTTCACGCATGTGATCTGTTGAACGAAGGTGTCCAAATGACACACATATATATTCGGTAAAGTGTCTAGTTGGATATTTAGGTAATTGAAGTGTTCAAATGATCGTTATGGACAACAAAGGGACCCTTTATGTATTTTGCCTTTTTTTTAAATCTCACATTATTTTACGTCCAAACGCCTTACTCTAAATTAAATACTTCCCAAAATTGATTTTGACCGAAGTCAAGAGGCCACGTAGACCCACTAGAAATGAACAGTGCAAGAGTCCAGAACCTTCTTATAGCGGTGCAAATTTTTGTGGAAAATAATTTTGGCGCCCAACCAAAACCCTAGAGCAGCAGTCTAGCAGAGCCTTTATCAGTCTCCAACTCCTTTTCTACCGGAGCTAAGTAAACATCAATTAACCGGAAAATATGTCAGGCTTGAGGTTCTTCGTTGAAAGAACCGGTGACGGCGCCGGGCAGCCAGCCCTCGACGCCGACAACGGCGAGGAACTCATGCACGTTCAGCCTGGAACCGCCATCGTTCTCGGCAGCCGCCAGCCTGAGTCCCCTGGCACTCTCTACATCACAACTAAGTAACTCTCGACCTTAAACTTATCTTTTGTTTGTTTCTGTATTTATGCCTTTTCGAATCGAATCATTCGTTGAGTTTGGTTGTAATTCGTAAAATATTTACCAGGCAAGTGGTGTGGCTAAGCGATACAGATAGGAGTAAAGGTTATGCAGTTGATTTCTTGTCGGTTTCACTTCATGCTGTATCTAGGGACCCCGAGGCGTATCAGGATCCTTGTTTATACGCTCAGGTAAAATCTCCTTTCGGAATGTAAATACGGAGTATATTATTTCCGTTAGTTGAGGTTTTACGTTTCACTCTATATTAGCAAGAGAGCGAAAAAATGAAGATTAATTTCTGTTCTTTGTGAAATTGGAATGTCCCAAATTTTGTAGAAGCAAATTGACCTGCCTATATTTGGATTAATTTCTGTTGTAATTTTAAGATCTGCTGGTCGTGAAATGGAACTGATAGTAATCAAAAAGGGCTAGGAATATACTGAAGTGATTATTTAAGTATCTCTCCTTATGATTATTTCCCTTTTAAATATCTGACTGAAAAGGTTCTCACCCTTGTTATCAGAGGCTGATATATCTTGCTTCAAGAGGTATCATCCCATGCTGCTTCCCTTAAAATTTTCAGCTAGTATAATGCAAATGACAATTAGAAGAATTAAGTAAGTTTGCTTAACACCACTTGACAAGAGGTGGTTCCTAGTTCTCTGGTCACAAATATTTCATAGTATAACAGAGGGATTATTTAACTTCGTGAGATATTGGGAATGCAGGTAGCTTAATGATATCAAATATTGACTACTAAGTAGGAATGAGAATTAAAAAGGAATTTTTTTTTTTGGGGGGGGGGGGGGCAACTATATTAATTAGTCGCATTTTATTCATGAAATGGCTTAGATTGGTAGTCTGGATTTGGTAGAGAAAAAACATTCTATCAGATTGAATAGTAATATTCTATCCAATAAGTACCTTGTGTTAGCATTGACAAATTACGTCCTGGATATCTAGTATTCCTTAATTATTACCCATGTCTACTATTTAGGCGGAATACCCTCATCAATCTGTTTTTTGGGTTGGCATTTGAATAACCAACTAAGAACTCTCTGAATTGGGAAAGGAAACCAGGTATCTGAAAAGCTGCAATCAAAATTGTTTTAGATTTATGGAAAAAATAATTTCTGTTTTTCGGATTTTGGTAACCTGGTAACAACTACTAAAATCTTTAGGTTTTTGTTTTGTATTTTATTTGGGGAATGCTTGTAAAGATAACTATTCTGTGGTTTTTATTTTTTAATTTTTTTTTGATAAGGTAAAAGTTTTCATTAATAAGGTAGCAAGATGGTACAAAATGTTATTAAGAGCACCCCAGAAACAACCATCTCCTACAGTCCTCCTAGTAAATCCAGAAAATCTATAAACTGTTGTTCCACTGGTACACTGCTTTTTCACCAATAAAACAGGTAATACATTTGTTTCTAATTCTAAAAATGTGATCCTTGTGTCCTTCAATACAAGCCCGGTTCGTTTCCAGCCATAAAGTCCAGAATATGCACAATGGAATGGTTCTCCGTATTTGCTTCAGTCTTCTAGGTACTCTTTGATTTTGCCACTCTTCCAACAAACTCCTGACGGTCTGTGGCATTACCCAAGAGATACCAAAAACGTTTAAGAACAAGTCGCAGCATTGTCTAGCAATTCTACAATGGATAAGAATATGATTCACTAATTCTTGATCTCCTTCACACAGATAGCATCTTTTACTTAGATTAAACCCCTTTTTTGCAAATTATCTTGTGTCAAACATGTTTCGCAAGCTGCTATCCATCCAAAGCATGCCACCTTGACTGGAGCTTTTTTCTTCAAAATCATCTTCCAAGGCCAATTTTCAACCGTGACTTGACTTCTTAATCAGCATATTATTAACAACTTTTGACTGGAAACTTTTTATCCTTACCATCTGTCCAGATCAGCGCATCCACCTAACTATGATTAATTGAGTGAGTCAAGCTGTTGAAGTAAAAGACAATGGTCATCAATCTCCCAGTCGCTCAAGCTTCTTCTGAGCTCCACCTGCCATCCTGCCTCTGTGAAAATCAGCAATCATACCATCCTTTTTAACAGAATAATTGAATAGATAGGACACTTAGATTTCAAGCATTTCTCCCCTAATTGGTTCAGTTGGTTAAAACTAATTGGTTCAGTTGTCCTCTCCATTAGTCCTACTGAGGAGTGTAGAAAATTACACAACTCCACTACATTCAATAGGGTAACTTGGGCATTCTATTTAAGTTTAGTTTCTCGGTTTGTTTTTATGCATCTGTAGTTTTCCTGTTTACTTGAGCATGGAGTATCATCCTGCTGTTTACTTTTTTCTTTTTTCATTTGTCAGTAAGATATCTCACACAGTGAGTATATAGTTGGACATTCTCTACTCGGGTAAAAATGCAATTTCTTTTATTTGACAAAATAGGATCCAGAAAAAAAAAATTAGGATAGGCTAGCATATGCTGTCTGTTCAGTGAAGCTGGAAGATCATTTGGGATTGGCTGCATGATTGTTATGCGTATTTTACCTTGATGAGGTGGTTTCATGGTTGTTATGCATGTGTCCATTCTGTTAAGGCATGTCTTTGGTTTTCATTATTAGTGAGTGTTTGGTAACGCAATTACTTTCTTTCAGTAAGAGCCTGTTTGGATGGGCTTGTTTTAAGTGACTTTTAAGCCAAAATAGCTTTTAAGCCATAAGTTAGGAATTCTAGATTTTGCTTTTGGCTTGTTTTTCTCATTTTAGCTTAAAAACACTTTTTTACTTTATCCAAACACTACAAAATGGCTTAAAAGCTATTTTGGCTTTAAAGCACTTAAAACAAGCCAATCCAAACGGGCTCAAAGTTTTGTATGATCATTTGATTTATTTTCTTTTCTGAAGGGGAACTGAGTGTGGGTGTTGGTTAAACATTTGTTCCATTTTGCAAATGTGATTGCTTTCTCTGTTGTGAAAATGATGGATATATTTTGCTTTGTTCTTGAAGATTGACAATGGATTGGAGTATGATGAATCAGAAGGCTCCACTGATGAGGGTGATGAGTCATCAGATTTATCAAGGATCACTGAGTTGAGACTTGTGCCATCGGATCCTAATCAATGTACTTCATTCTTGCTCATTGTTTTTACTTGGGTTTTCCTTGAAATCTTTCATCTAGGATAAATGCCTTGTGCTACTTCAGCTCCTAAAGATATGTTTGCTTTGTATGTTCTATTTTGACAGTGGATACTCTCTTCCAGATCTTTTGTGAATGTGCTGAGCTTAATCCTGAACCAATTGAAGGTTGTTATTTATTTCTTTGGACATACTCCAAACAAACGTCTTTTTCTCATTTTCTTCTGCCCAGTCATGTTTCTACTTGACTAAACCCTGGTATTGCTTTTTCCTAGGGGAGGAAGAAGAACATAATTGGATCTTCAGTGCAGATCAGCTGGAAAATCAGGAAGCTGGTATGGAATTGATAGTCATTGGTTTGTTTTATGAAACCAATTTTTGTTTTGCCAACTAACTTCTGCAGTTATTGGTCTTAACTTTTGAAGAGGAAGAATCTGAATGGACGTTTTCTCAAAATCTGACACATTCTATTGGTCATTCAAATGGAGATCACGACTTAGCTCATAATGTGCTTCAGGTATGCCTGTTGTAGATTTGGTTTGAGACTTGAACTTAAGAACTGTGATTATTCTATTGTCATTTGTCTTTTGTTTGGCTTGTTGGTAGGTGTAGGGTTTGGGTGGCATGGGAGATGAACAAATTAAATACTTGGTTTCTAGAGTAACAGGCAGAGAGTCTCACTATATATTTGGCAAGCACTGTCAAGAATTTTAGAGCTCCTCTTGGCCGATTGTCTCAAGTAACTCGTGTTTTTAGATGGGTGCTAGATAAACTAATATCAATAACTGCATGTGCAATTTCACTATAGCTCTGGCATATGCTGAGCCCTTCTATAATACACTCGTCGTCTAAGTTTGTTTCTTATTATTGTTATTTTTTGTGGTGGGGAGTGGTTTCAGGTCTATAAGAGTAGGTTGAGATATGAAAATAGAGCATCTTCATGCTTTCTGCTCTAGTTATTTCACATGCACTTCTAGTGCATATATTGGCTGTTTGTTGCTGGAAATTGAGACATTTACTTTTCTTACTGCAGCTTCAAATTAATGATCAAAGGTTTGAAGATGCGGAGGAAATGGACAGCGACAGCAAAAATGGTCATCGCTAAGGCGTCACCATTCTGAATCAGATTATCTTCTTGTGTATCATTATATCTCACAACGAACTTTTGATGTATATTAAAGTGTGTCAACCTGGTCCAGTTTCTCACACTTCAGATGTTCTTCCGGAAATGTTGATTTAAATTTAGATCTTTTGCCCAAAAAGATTACATGATATTCAGGAATTAACAGTTATTGCATATCAAAACTTAGTGACCTGTGAGTAGTGCGAGCCAAGACCACATAGCTTAAGTTGAAGGCAGCTTTTCTTGGTGTTTTTCCTGTCTTGTGCCCTTCGTTTGATTTTTTACCTGGGTTATGGTAATGACTTTAAAACTTCCAGGGATATCTGTGTGTAAACTTCAATCTAGTTACTCAGTATCTCGCCCAAATAAGCAGTGTAAATGGAAAGCACAACTTTCTGGCCCTCTAGCTCTCCCTCTTCAAGTGCCTGACATTGTTACTCTCAAGGTTCTCTCAAGTTCTTCCGGTTTTTTCGTGTTTGAGCTTCAAAAAATTTACACATTTTGGAAAGTATTCCTCATCAATAAATACACGAACCTTTAAGAAGTATGATCAATTACAACATGTCACATTCCAAACTGCTCTAATTTACACATGCGAGTGCATTGAAGAGCTTCCTTAAATGAGAGTTCTCAAGTAGATAAGTACTTTTGAGTTAATGCTACTTTATGTTGTATATGAAAAGTCATAACTAATTTGCTAGATGCATAATAAGTTAGTATATAGCTAATCGACACTTTTGTATTATGATCACAAAACAGCTTACTTTTTGGGGGAGTCCTTTCTGGAAGAATTAATACTTCTCCGTCGCAAGTCACACAACATGAGCACAATTAGGAGTTTGGTGGTGTCTGTGTGTACGGTCCTACAAAATGACCCTTCTTCATGTTGCTTTGACAAAATTTTGCTGCAAATCCTCCGTAATCAATGCACCTATGTGCTGGAACAATTAAACAACAGACATCAGTTGAGTTCTGATTGACTCACTTTCCAGAAGTAGTCTGAATTCCAATTCTTACCTAGCTATCTTTCTTGGGCATGAGCACAAGATCCAAAAGCCAATGAGATAGTAATAGTTTTAGACTCAAACTGCAAACTTTCTCGGCACAAGTAAGCAATTATCATCTATCAACAAAATAGAATCAGAAATGTTTACTTGGATCCGCCTCGTGAATGATGAGTATCTGTGCATATTGCTAAACAACCTACCTTAAATGAACAAGTGAACTCTGCGACCACTGGCATTTCACTTTGTTCGGCAAGTTGAAATAATCTTAGGATAACTTTGGGCTTTTGATCACTTTTGTAGAGGAAGCCGAAGATCTTTTGCATCTTCGGAGAACTAGCACGAGTGGAATTATTGAGGCGTAAATTGGTTTTAGGCTTTTAGCTGTGCAGAGTTTCAAGGTAGAATCAAATTTTTGGTCGACTTCTTACGTTCTTCTTCCAATAAAGAAGGGCCCATAATACGTGATGTATCAACATGGAACAACTCGAAGTTCATGAGATTGACTTCATGCAAATGCAGTACTAAATAGCATTAACATAATCATTAGAGCAATAAAAGGCATGGAAAAATGGAAGCAAATTTTGATGAGGGACAGCAAAAAGGAAGCACATTTCATTAAGACTGAGATGACTAGCATAATGAAATCTCCCCAACTGGAAGTCATTAATACAGTTGAGAAAGGAAAAACAAATAGTCCGGTCCACTAAAAATTAAAACACCTATACAAGTTTTCGATATTTTCTTGTGCCAAGCTCCTCCTACTTCCTGTGATCAGTAGCTAAAAGCTTCATTAATAAAGGTCACCAAAAACTCTTTTTCTTCTCACTAATTGAATAGTAATCAAGATACCAATTAACGAACTTGTGTAGCCCCATCTGCAAATCTGTAGTAGGTTTATATCCAAATTCCTTCTGAGCATAGCTAATATTAGCATGAGTAAACATCACATCCCCATTTCTTGGCAATGGCAACACATTCTTTTTAGCCTTTACCTTAAGCAACTTCTCCAATATACTAACCAGCTTAGTAACTGGAACAGGTGAAGTATTCCCCAAATTGAACACTCTCAACTGTGCATTTCCCTTCTTCTTCCCACCACTTCCTGTACTCTTCTCAGCTGTATCCAATGCCCCTAAACACCCTTTCACTATATCATCAATGTAAGTAAAATCCCTTGCTACACTTTTATTATTAGAACCTTCAAACACATTAATACTCTTTCCCTTTAATATATTCTTTGTGAAAAAGAAATACGCCATATCAGGCCGACCCCAAGGTCCATAAACAGTGAAAAATCTCAACCCTGTAATTGAAAGACCATAGATATGGTTATAAGTATGAGCAATCTCTTCACCAGCTTTCTTTGTAGCGGCGTAAAGACTAGCTGGTTGATCCGTTCGATCTTTTTCTGAAAAGGGTACTTTAGAGTTAAGTCCATAAACAGAACTGGACGATGCCCAAACAATTGCAGGCTGTGGATTAGCTGATTTACAGGCCTCGAAAACGCTAACGAGACCTGCAATATTACTGTGGATATAAGAACCAGGATTCTTCATAGCGTAACGAACGCCAGCTTGTGCAGCTAAGTGCATTACGTGAGTAAATGACACAATGTCAAAAAGCTTCTTGAGCAAATGACTGTCATTAATATCACCTTCAATAACAAAAATCCCATTACGTTCTAACAATTTCTGACGGGCTCTTTTCAACGATGGGTCGTAATAGCTGTTGAAATTGTCCAGGCCGACGACGCCGTCGCCGCGCCGTTTGAGGGCGGCGGAAACGTGGGACCCGACGAAACCGGCAGCACCGGTGACAAGGACGGTAATATGACCGGAACGAGAGCGGGCAGAGGATTTGACACGCTTATCCCATTGTGGGCTGCCCCATTTCATGTTGGGGTGAATAGATTGGGAATCAGAAGGAGGAGAGTGGAAACATATGAAAAGAATGGTACCTGCAAAAAGTGTGGTCCAGAAAATAAGCTTGGTGATTGAATATGTCCATCTACTACGGTGTTTGTCCATTGTTTAATGGGATTAATTGCTAAATTGGCAGTAAATATCTACAATGGAATGATAATAACAAAAGATTCATTCTCATTGAACATGGGTAAAATTAGAGCTGATATCAATGGTGCCGTTTAAGTTTTTAAAAAAAAAAATTCAAGAAAAAGGGTTTGTTGCAATTGGTGTTTATCTAAGAGCTATAACATTGGATTGGATATATACGTCTTCTGGAAAATCGGGTCTGAGATATGAAAAAAAGGATAACAGAGAGAGAGAAAGAAGGGGGGGAGGAATCTGGGGATAAAGAAGGAATAGAGGGATGAGTGTGCAAAAGGTTTCTGTAAATGTGGGGCCAAAGAAAAGAATAAGATGGAGAGAGAGAGAAACAAAGGTTGGACGGAAGTCGGAGACCGTACATTATATGGGAGATGGAGATGAGAGTATCGTCACAGCTTTTCTCAGCATATTGGCTCTAACCGCGGTAAATACTTACCCGCACCGAGTATATACACCAAGTCTATATACAAAACACATATCATGTATCTATTGATTTGGTGTAAATACCCGGTGTGGGTAAGTTTTTACGGCGTACCATTCTCCTTTTCATCACAATTTGCTTCTAAATGGACTACTTTTTAATCGTTACAACTTTCATCGTTTTTTTTTCTCCCTAAACTTTCATTTTACATCTTTGGTCCTCCACTAATTTTCTGAACATTTTAATTTTTCCCCTAAAGTGCTAACTCTGTTTTTTTTTTTGGGATGACATTCGGCAGGAATTAATGTTGCACCTTTTTTTTTCCTTACTCTAGTAAATATTTGAGTTTTGTTTGTTGCATCACAACTTCTCTTTGAAATAAAATGTGCTTCATCTAAGTTTATGCTGTATAATTTTTTTTTTTTACATTGTCAATGTATATAAATTATAATAAATTTTCTTTTGTATTGTTATATATTCCTCTGTCACTTTTATGTGATGCACTTTGACTAGGTACATTGACTAAAAAGGAAAGTAAATCAGTTAGATTAAGACAGAAAGAGTAATTAGTATGTAGATATTTGTTATACTAGGGATAATTGAGGTAAAAAGAAAGGTGCATATTTCAATATGCAAGCGATCGCTCTATGCTCTTGTTTGGATATAGATTTTGTATACTTCTTCTCAAAAAAATATTGAAGAAAAATGTTCAAGTTCCAAAAACTGGTTTGGATTAGTTTTTGTGTGAATTTTTTTTATAAATTCATTTTTTAAATCTCAACCAGTTCAAATTTATGTCCAAACGCTAGCTAAGTTGTATTCTTTGGTCGGACTTACTTTCATTTGAAGTTAGCTAGATTATTTTCACTTGATAGCATTAAGTTACGAGTAGCGTTCAAGTGATCAATGAGCGTAGCCATTTCTTGGGTTATGCTTAATTATTTCTATCCTAGCTTTCCCAATTTTTTTCTCAAGTATTCGTCTCTTGTAATGCTACAGCTAAAACAATTTTATGATTGTTAGCTACGGAGATTTTGCCATACAATTGCAATTGCTTATGCTGATGGACAAAGCTGGACTTGAGAGTTAAAGAGAATATCATTCCTAGACCATTAATTAATTTGTGAAGAATTTTCCGATGGGGAAGAAGAAACAGTGAAAGGACATAGGCCGTTGCTAATGTGAAAGTATGATAGGGACGAGTCTTTTCAACGGTCACCCAGATGAAGTTTTGTTTTGGATGAAAAGAGTCAATACTTATCCAAAACAGATATCCACTGAAGACACCTATCGTTGGTTGATGACCCGCAACTCTACTGTATCACGGCAACGTCAAGTATTCAAAATTCTTTTAGAATTAAACACGACAAAATTACATAATAATGCACTTCATAAGTTGACCTTGCACTATTTTAGCCCAGTTACAAGTTTGCAAATGTGTAACCAAATATCAAGAAGATCTTTTCTTTTCACATTCCCTCGTATTATAACAACCTCATTTATTCCTACCTACCCCTATTGTAGCTCTCTCCTCATTTTTCACCCATAAATATTTAATTTAATTAATGAAAAAGAATCATATGCAAACAAAACTGAAAAGAAAAATCAGTTCCCCATTCAGTCAACACTCATTTGTGCCTTCTTCCATAACTAATACTTCTCTGTTTTTTTTTTAAATTTTGTATATCTTCAGGTTTATACATACCTATCACAATTGCAAAACGCAAAAACAGACGCGAGAAACCTAAAATCTCATCTCCTTTAATGCTAATCTTGTTAAATTTCGATTATGATTTTGTGAGAAATTTGGAGTGGGTATTGTTTGAACTTATTAGAAATAGTCTAAGTAGGTTGTATACAAAGTTTG